ATTACTTTGACTTATTATCAACAGTATGTTACATACATAATGGTTAAATTTGTAAGTTTTAATACCACACTGTCCTTTGGGCAGTCCATATATAACTATTATGTAAATCGTTGTTACCATAGTTAAGGACTGTACTGATCTGTTGCAATCCACTTGTTTCGCTGTACATGTGCATGCAGGAAAACAATAAGCAGATATTTGAAAATTCATTATTTTCATTTTACCCAAAACACGCCCGTGGACGAAATAATGCGGACTGTTTCTATGGGCTTTCTTTTCATAACGATGCTTTCTCCAATCTTAACGTATATTTTCTTCATTTTCAGTTTTGGAACTAGTCGAATAGGAAAAATTATTCTTAATCCACATCCATTTTCATCAATCATATAATACCAACTCTCACTTAACGGAAGTCTGGAAAAGTCATCTGCACAATTCAATATTATTTCTTTGTCGGTCTGAAAGCAATGTCTGAAAATGTCCAAGTCAAATCTGATAACGGTAGTATCCTTTCCGTCGTTGGGTCTAACTCTATCTTGAATTCCATCCTCAAATGCGTTGGCTGCTGAGAGTAAACGGTGATGGTCAATTCTATGGGGAAAATACTCGGAGAGAGAATGTTGATCAACGTTGGACTTGGATTTCCAGGTAGTCTCAGTATTTGGCCGGCCATGACATTTTACAATTTATTCGAGATTTCCTCCCAAAAAATCTATAGCAGTAATCTAAATATTTCCGATGAACGGAGGCTTTCCATTAGCTAATTTCCATTCCGTTTGTAAATAAATATTCTTCAGGCCTTTTTCTGTTTATAATTTGCTTATTATACTAGCCATAATCTTAAACATATTTTCCTGAAGAGAAAAATTGGTATTCAGGTTCAGATATTGTTTTCAAACGGCAAATAACTAAAATGATGAATTATTGCACTTATGATTTTAAGATTTGTTTAAGTATACTTACTTAATTAATTTTTTTTTAATTCTTGCTTCAAGAAACTTTTCCTTTCAATGAAAAAAAAATAAAGGAACAAATGAATAGTCGATAAGGAATAAATTACTACAAAATTTTGAAGGATAACAGTCAAGTTGAACGTCGATTATATATATGCAGAGACAAAATCCTAACAATACTTTTAGTTCAAACATTAATTGTTATAATCTCTTGGGAAATATTCTAGCTATTTCCTAATTTGTATCTAAATCTTAACTGTAGAAAAATGTACATATTTTGATATAAATAAAATGTAGCGAAACATATGATCATTTCATCGGATGATAACCGTTTGCGCCAATAATACGTTTGCGCAACTCGTTTCAAACTACCTTGTATCATTTGCGCCATAAATTTAATATACTAGTATATATACGATTGCGCCAATTCTAAGATAAAATTTTATTTGATTAAAAAACTGACTCCATCTGTCGTTTCTTTTCAATCTGTGCGTAGTCAGTTTTAACTTGGCGATGTTTAAAATTACGGTAAGGTAGGTAATTTGGCGCAAATGAGGTCCGTATTCGGCTGTAGCAACTGCATAATGCCTTTGAAAAATAATATTTGGTGCTGATGATATATCGTAAGTAATAGCATTTTTTCCCCAGTTCATTGGCAGATCCAGAGGGAGGATTTCAAGCAGGCAGATAAAAATCGACAAAATATAACTCATCATCATTTTTAAAAATAATTCTTACCTCTTTTGTGGTAGATTTTTTAACAATAATTCTTTCAATTTTCAACGTCTCCTGTAAATCAACCCTGGATGGTGCTGATTCCTGATTGAAAAACGGCGACAACTCTTCAAAACGCAATTTTTGTTCCCTCTTTTTGATATTTGACATTATTGTAATCAGTTATAAATCTATGCTATGTGTAATAATAGTCTCAGTTATATGCGGTAGTGCTAAATTTTTCTGATTGTTCTTTTCAGACGTTTTCGTGCTTAAACTTTTATTTTCGATGCAGAAGGTAATTTTTAATACTTTGAAATATCTGGGAAGAGGATACAACTCTATATCATGTCACAGGAAATACTTAACAGATGCCAGTATTCAGGGGCGGATCCAGGATTTTGGAAAGGGGTGGCGTATTATTAAAGTTTGCCGAGCGGAGCGAGGCGAAAAATTTTTTTGGACCTTTTTTTGGCTAAAAAACATAAAATAAGTGTAAAATGCATTTTATAGTTAAAGTGTAGGGGTTGGACATTTTTGGTGCCGTATTCTCTCCATCAATTGTCAATTATGAAATGATTGGATAGATCCAAAGCTATGTACTAATTAATATATTTGATGTGGGATTTGTCAGTAAAAAATGGACATGGAAAATTCTCGTTTGTTGTATGGTTAGTTAGCATAACCTTACAGATTTCTTGTTGTAAACAAGATATACGGCTATTCAATGAAATTTACAATACGACCGACACGAAGAAAGACAAACAAGCAATTTTCATCCAAATGTTTGGTTGAAATGTTTTACCCAACAAGGGAAGTGAGGGGTTCCAAATCAACCAAAGGCTACGAATTAGTCGGAAATGACAATGAAGTTGTGAATGACGGTCGACACATGGAGACATATAGGCCACACCCAGCAGGCAGGTTGCAGTCGGGCCTTGAAAAAAGTATTCGGTATATCAATTCGGCGAAACAGACATTCCGGTCAGATATGGGATTCACATGCAACCCCCCCTCATAAAAAAATTACGCCCGTTTTTTATTCATCATGTTCATTTAATGCTAAATAATTCTGTTGAAAATATTTTTTCTAATAGCAAAAAAGTGGACAAGATTATTGTTTTCAATCCAGATACGGCCAGAATTTTTGTTTAAGGCAAAAATTAGGGTCAGAATTTTTTCTCGAAAATATCTCAGACTGCCCCCTCAGATCAAATGGTCCGTACCTTAGACTTTAAATCTATATCTAGAGCTTACTGACTGGGGATCACTATTCAGCAATGTTATTAATGGGCTGGGGCGTGAGGGGTTAAACATGTTTTCGTAGGTAAATAATATTGCTGTGGAACTTTTTTTTCATGAGAGTGTAATAGAGTATTACTTTCTGTTGGTTGGAATCGTGAAATAGAAGTCAATACGTTCTTGCTCAATACTTTTGCTTTGAAGGCGTCATGCTTGTCATCCTCAGCCTAAGCAATGTGTTACTGTAATTTGAATTTCAAAATGACTGAGTGACGTTTTTTTTGACGAACTGTTCAACTCCACCGTAGAGAATCACATGACTTTGACATAATCAATAATATATTACAGTAAATACGAGCGAAAAGTCTAGAATTGTCGCATAAGAATTAAATACACGGGAAATGGCAAAGTTCACAAAGTCTAGTCTGATTAATCATTTTACAAAAAAAAAAAAAAAAAAAGTGCAAGCAAAGGGGGGGGGGGGGGCGTACGCCCTCTACGCCCCCCCCTCTGGATCCGCCACTGCAGTATATGATCAGGACAGCAACTCTTGATTATTGTCACAGGTGTCAACCTCTCACAGTTTCAAGCGGTATATAGCCGCAATAATCCCTACGTGTGACTTCCGTTAACTTGCGAAATTAGTAGGAACACGGAGTTATAATTTTATTAAATATCTTCATGGTAAAAATGATACATATTTATCACACTGTGCAGAACATTCTTACAGTATTGTCAAGGTTATAATTTGTCTTCATATTTATAGTTTAATACAGTTGCATAACACCATGACAGTCAAATAAATTAACCATACCTTATATTCACAAAATCGCTTAAATATAGAGCTTATCATACATGTACAGATTTTTTTACAGAGTTATCTGAAGGCTAATCGAAAAAAATTGATTAATTCATATAATATGAAAAAAAAACGGATATATCAAAACAAGGATTTGTATAGTAAGATTCTTACTTTACAAATCGTTGATCAAAACAAGCAAAACCAGAACTGGCTGTCATTCTCAAAATGATAGTTTTCCTACACTTTCTTTTTTATGATTGTATGAAAACATTTGAACAACCTAAATTTACGCAAAATTAACACAATTTAAAGGTTGAATCCATACAATTTGTACAATTAGAGAGGGGAGAGGTGTCACGGAATAGAAGTTCCTTCATAATATAAGTTCCAAATGGAAACAATATTCTGGAATATTATTTCCACTGGAATAAATATTACAGTAAATGTTCCTAACGGAAAAAAGGGTATAGAATATTTGTTCCAACAGGAACAGATATTATGACATTGTTTATAACAAAGTTTCCAGTGGAACTTCTGTTAGGCGGAACAAATATACGTTGACACAGGTTCTAACTTAAAATAGATAGGAATTTTAAAATCAAATTGAAACGTACGACTTGACTTTAGACATTTTCCTGTTCAGAAGATCTTACGGCAAATTTTTGCACCAGAATGATGACCCTCATGGGGTTGTCCAAGTAATCACATAATCACAATTTTTTTGCCAATATAATCACATATAATCATTCATTATTTTTTTAAACAAGATAATCAAATAATAAAAAATACAGTCCTAGATTATCAAATAATCAAATAATCATGAAAGATTTGGTCTGGTAATCAAATAATTAATATAAAAACGGCCAAGTAATCACATATTCAAAAAACCCCATGAGGAGGCTCCAGAATGATCCATTTCCACCTACCACGCGCTCATGGAATCTCAAATACATCTACAGCTATTCGAAAATCTAAATCATGTCTCAAGAGGATTTTGATACTGTGAAAAGGGAGGAGTTTAATACACGAATACTGGGACCAGAGACATATAATAAAATTATATGTTTCTGCTGGGACTAATAAATTTATAAAATACAAGCGGTGTAGAGAAGAAGTAAATAATTTGTTCAACTTTTTTTTATATTAAAAAAAATTACTCTTCTAATCTATGTGTTCTTGCATATTAACATAGAATTCCAGTATATTTCCAAAAATACGGGGGTTTCGCGATCAGGTGATAAAATCTTTCCTTTACTCGCATATTACACTCTCCTCAAATGAAGGTCAACAAATTCGATTGGAAATGGCGGGGAAAACGAAAAAATGATTTTCTGACAATTTTAACTCAATTTATCTGATTATGGCACTTTCAACGCAACAGCCAGACAATGATGATAGATATGTACTCTTAGCTAAAATAGACAATGCCAGAAATGTATCGAACATTCTTAAAGCCATTCATTTTAAAGAGGTAATTAACTTAATTATTAAGAGATCAAAGTTAGCTGTGATTCGTGTGAAACACAAACAGACAAATATGACAAAGTCAAAGATAATAACATAATTTCACTCATCAAATATATATTATATTGCAAATGGTAAACAAACTGACGTAGTCGTTATGGATTTTTCAAAAGCTTCCTATAAAGTAGGCCACGAAAGACTTTACCTTATGGAATTCTGTATCCCAGAGCAAAGGAGTAGGTTCGATAAGTTCCTTCAATGGCCCCTATTTCTAGCTACAATTTCAAATTAGGTGTTATTGAATGATTTTACAATGAATCAAAGCTAATACAAAGATTATATAGGATATATGTCTTTTTGTTGAAAATTTACGTATTTCCATTCTATTCATGATGTCAAAATTAGCACTTATTTTGACTTTCCACGAAAATTCAATGAAAACATTTAACTTCCCATGGTTTTTTGTACAGGAAACGTAGAGCGCATGCGTCGATTATTTTTTTTCTTTTCACATAAGGTTTGTTATAACATTTCACATTTCACATTGGGGTCTAAGCGTGACGCGGGATTGGCCGATTTTTGTAAGCGTGACACGTGAAAGTCAAATTATTGTCCGGGAAAACGGGAAATAAAGTCGGGCGGGACACGTGAAATTACCCAAAAATGAGCCGGGAATCCAGGAAAATCATTTTATTAAGCGTGAATCAAAATTTGTTATAAAAAAATGAAAAAAAGGGATGTGGATTGACTGCCAATGAGACAGATGTCCACCAAAGTTCGAATGAAGTGGATGTAAAGCCCCATCACATTAGACCAAGACCATGAATAAGCAGTTGACCTCATACTTGAGTGATTTACTAACTAAAATAGATAAGATTACAGTGAAATCGTGGTATGGTTGGCTTGAATATTCATTAATTTATTTCGTAGTTTTCACGTTGATACGGCGATCTTGCTATGATTTCGCTACGACAGTTACATGTTCTATAGTTACTATCTTGTCACGCTCTTGCTGCGTCTAATAAGACCTTACCACGACTTACACGGTCTCTGAACCCTTCCCAATCTCATTACGATTTCAATACGTGTCTACTACGATCGAAAAACGACTCCACTTCGTTGTCACTATGCTCTTCGTCCCTATAAATATCTTGACTTTCCCATTGTACACATCAGTTTCCTGGAGATGACTTTCCACTAAAGGTATTAAAAACACATAGAGATCGGGGTGCTAATTAAAAAGCAGAGGTCTCAAAAAAGGTATGCAATTTTGAAATTTCCAATTTGCAAATAAGGAAATATAACACAATTCTCGTGGCTAGGACATAGTAGAATCGTGACGAGGACGACAAGGGTAAAGTAGCTGCGCATTATTGTCTTCCTCATCGTAGAATAATTGAATCAATATTGTAGAAGCGTAATTAAGACGTATAGTGAAATCGGGATAGTCGCAGTGACTGAATAGGCCTACCTAAGGTTGCAGCGAAATATTTTCCATTGGCTACCCTGATTGCACCACGTTTCCAACACGATGCTTCTACGCCCATCCCGATCTAACTACTTCCTTACTACGACTGAGTTTATACGGTTCTACTTCAACTAGTTTGGCCATGACTACACTACAAAAGTTTTGAGCATATTCAAAGCCCCACGATCAAGAAGACTTGGCATGTCCTTATTACGACCTCACCACGATCTTACTATGACTTTCAAAATTGTATAATTTCTGAGATCGTAGTGGGATCGTGGTCCTAGTGTGATGGGGATATAAGTAATTTTTGTTTGTTTATCATATCAAATGTATTCCGTTTTTTTTTTCTCAATATAATCTTATGACAGTCAGGGGCGTAGCTGCCGTTAGGCACTTTAGGCACGTACCTATACACATATTCTTTTCAGAAATCTTTTTTTTTATATACAAAAGATAAAAACAACATTATCTGTAGACAGTCAGAGCTCAGACATAAATAAGTCTAAATCTGCTTTTGACTCATAGAGGTCTAAATTTTTAGGTTTCTAGATTTGTCTCCCTTAAATTTAAGACAAATTATGACTTCAACAAGTCAATTAGTGTTAAGTAAGAAATATTTGACCTGAATTAAAAAGTTGCAAATATTGACTCCTACAAGTCAAAAAGTTACCAAAATTGGTCAACTTCAAGACCCAAGCATATTTATAAAAAGGTCAAGCATCTACATGAAAATATGACAACATTGAAAGACAATTCTTTGTCTTCTAAAGAAAAATATGCATGAGAGCCTAAAAAAAGGGAGATAATGTTTATTTATTTGACAATGCAACCATCTATAACCACACAAAATGAGGAAAATAATCTTATGTTAAGTAAAAATGTTGAATTAGATAAGCAAATATAGATAGCTCAGGTCCTTATGAACTCTCAGACAGGTTTATGATGTCATAGGTGATGCGCTTTGGCCACCAATTAAAATCAAGTCTTTTCATAAACATAAATAGACCTAAACAAGTCTGTCATTTTCTGACTTAAATCAGTCTGAAAATGAAAACGCATTTTTGTAATAAATACAGTTTTTGACTTTTGTAAGTCAAAAACAAAAAACGACTTGTTTATGTCTGAGCTCTGACTGGTAGATACATGTGAATTCGGTAAAACTCTTTAATTATCAAATGTCATTTGTACACTAGTCTATCATCCTTAGTGAATTGAGTACTGGATAGAATGTCATTATATTCCACCGTATATAAACTAAAAACTAGATCTTTGGTTCAGATCATTTCATTTCTATCAACAAATACTTGAATTAGCCTCATCATGCTCAAAACCCTGCCTTTTTATATACATGATTTATTTTTTATTAATTGTTGTTGAATTTCAACTAACTTTCCACTTGGTCCTTATCCGACCTAAAATAGAATCCTTGCCGAAGTTAGGCGTTCGTTTGGTTGTACGTAATGTATACTTACCGTTACGCAGTCACGTCTGGTCAGAATGGGGACTTGAAATCCGATGCCGCTAGTGTAGAGAGAATGCCCCGCTCTTTACACGTTAAGCAACTTGCAACAACTCTTTGAGGGGTTTGTAGGTGGTCCACTGAAAGGCAAAAATCTATATTCCTATCCAGGAAAACCACATTTTCTATGCATTGCATTTCTAAAATTCCAGACCTTCATCCTCGACGATCAGGACCTAGCTACCTGTTGTATTTATGGTAAATTTGTTTTTGTCCTGAACAATCATGAACTATTTGCCATTTTTAGCAATTAACCAATCAATCAATCAATCAACTAGCTTTCAGCAACTTCGAGTACTCTCAAATCTACTATAGACCTGCTGCGTGCATTCAGCGGCCCCAGATCCCCTGCCGCAATTTTTACCCACAGTTTATTGGACATGTAGTTACGTTTCTCACAGTCTTGGCGCCCAGAGTACCACCCACCTTTGGCGAGTCACTGACAATTTTTTTGTATCATTCCTAAATTTGTGACACCAGTAAGCCATTTATCGGTTCCCTGATATCTTGCCAATGGTAATACAAGTGTGATATACCGATAGGAGGGCTCTTGTAAGGCGACTTCTTATAGAAAAAAATATATAAGCAGGAAAGGGGAAACTAAAAAAAATGATAAGCGGGATACGGGAATCTGACAAAACGATAAGCGGGATCCGGGATTAGACCCCCCAAATGAGACCCCCTTTCACATATCTGACTTGAATATTTAGTTTGTCGACACCTGCACTCTATGTTTCCATGGCCATAATTTGGTTGAAATCCGAAACTAATTTTTCAAATTTTGCAAAAATCTCTATTTTTGGACTATTTGGGATGTACAAATCAACGCTTTGAAGTAAAACTTGGACCAAAAAAGTTCTAATTAACTGTTTTCACATGTCTTCCCATCAACTTAAAATATGTTTTATCTTGAAACATTACACTTAATACATGTAATAATCGGGGCCAAATATAGCCCGTACCGAACTTACTCCTTTCTGATTTGGCTGCCCGCAGAATTTCTTATCAAGCCCAATTAAGTCTATTCCCGGAAATTTTTGACAACTACCTCACCTCAAACTGGTGCCTTTTCACGCATGGCACTATTTCGTACACCAGAGGCAGGTTAGAATTGAAAAGAAGACATCAGCATTTTAGAATCCTTTACAATTTCAACCAGAAATCCAGCACGTGTGACTGTCACCTCAGAAAATGTATTCCACTTTTAAAATAAAGTATAAAGAAGATTGTTGGAATGCCCCCCTCCAAATTTTTTTTTTTTTTTTTGCTAAAACATTTGAGACATGACCAATATATAAGTCAGTCTAAAATTGTATATATGCTTGTGGACATTTGAAATGCATTTTTGAAACATTTTTTAAAATGTCAGACACATAACATGTATATATAATTGTAATTTTAAAGTAACCAATAAAAATCCACTTACATGTACTATCAGGTCTTTCTAGAGCATGTTGCATGTGTGGAATGAAAATTGCATGTGCACCTCATTTTTAGCCCGTTAATTTTGTAGCTCTATCAGATCTATTAGCATGCCAAATATTAAAATTATGCAGGACACCCCCAGTTACATTACTACTGTTGTGTTTAATGACCTTGACTACCCATGATGGTCTTGCATGGTCAACAATTATTTTTACTTGACCTTCAGATTACTTCAGAGATTTCTGATGTTTGAATTACATCCTAATTGGACTTAATTTTGTTATAATGCCATGTATCAAGGCTTGCATTCTTATGTTTCTTCAAAATTATAATGATGATAATATAGGTACCTACTATTTGATGTTTAATTTTCAAAAGGTCTACGATTGTATCCTTAAGAATTTGAATGTTTGATAAGGGAGAATATGAAAGAAAAGTATAATGTTACAACTGGGAATGAATCACTATTTCATGACTCAAAAGGTAATACATGCATGTTTTTTTTCAGTCGGCAACCGTGTTTGCTAGTTCTATGGGATTTAAGGTGACAGTTGAAGATTCTAAGTGTGTACAGGCCAATGCCTTTATTCAGGAAGCTCTGTTCCATGAATTTGTAATAAAAGAGGACCAGATCACCTTTAAAATAAATCTGACAGTGCTACTGGTTTGTATTATTAGCTTACACATGTACATGTAGGTATAATACATGTATACACATTGATTTTCTTTTTATGCCCCATCTAGGGGCATTATGTTTTTCGGTCTGTGTGTCCATTCGTCCGTCCGTAGGGACCGTCCGCCTGTCCCGCTTCAGGTTAAAGTTTTTGGTCACAGTAGTTTTAGATGAAGTTGAAGTCCAATCAACTTGAAACTTAGTACACATGTTCCCTATGATATGATCTTTCTAATTTTAATGCCAAATTAGAGTTTTGACCCCAATTTCACGGTCCACTGAACATAGAAAATAAATGATAGTGTGAGTGGGGCATCCGTGTACTAAAATGTACATTTTGACTTGGATGGAGAGTTGTCTCATTGGCACTCATACCACATCTTCTTATATCTATGTACTATGGACTCATTCTTGTTCTTATTCAAATTAAATGGAGAATTCCATCTCCTTTGGTAGCCTCTTAAAGAATTGCAAAACTAATAATTATACAGCTGAACATACATGTACGCACTTTTTCATCGTGTGTTCTTACATGTCTTATGCATACCAGCTGAGGTTAACAAAAATATATTTTTTAGAATTTTATTTCATGATGTTACATTTTGAGTTATATTTCACCGTACTGGCATCATCATACTCAGCAGGTAATTGTGGTACAATCTGACAGGATCCATTTGGCCTTGACCATAGTTACATTTGTACAAAGTTAAATGTAAATCTTTAAAATAATTGAAATACTGCAGCAGGTAATACATTTTATTTTCAATTACAGACATGACTGAACTGATACATGTATGTCCCTTTTTATAAGTTCAAAATATTTAATCGGAATATGAAATTAACCAAAAAAACTTTCCTATGTCTAGATGCAGAAACAAAATATAAACAAACCATAGGAATTATAAATAATCCTTATATGTATATATGTACACAGTTTAGTTGAGGCCAGGGACCAGGGTGCTTTTCTTCTCTAACATGTCTAACAGCCTATCAATATAGACATTTGAGATGACAGTTTAATTTTATAAATTTTGTAAAGTATATTTGTCTAGGTTTTTAAGTGAATGAAATGCATAAACTTACTGAATGAATATGAAGCACATCAATTAATAAAAGCACTGTTCTTTTACCATGTTTACTTTTGCTATTTTCATTTGCCTTTAGTAATTTTGTGTCATGAATTGGTACGCCATATCTTTTCATATCCATTTCCAGCAGGGACTAATCTGTACACATTTATACTTGAACATTTGTTTTGAAAAATTTTCATTTGATGCATTGATAGCAATACAGAAAGTATGGTATAAAATTAACAACAAGAATATAAAAGAGAGGCCATAGATTCCAAGCTCAAAGTCGTAAACAAACTGATAACACCATGTCAAAAAACAGGGTTGATCTCAGGTGCTCGGAAGGGTAAAAAGATCCTGCTCCACATGTGGCACCCATCATGTCGCTCATATAAGTACAAACCCATTGATAAGTCTAATTCAGTAGGTCACAATCGAGGGAAGGAGGACGGGATTGTGGCTACAATAACTGGAACACATTCACTATCATCTGTGAAACAGATATTCCATAATGGTCAACCAACTTGTGGTATCCGTAAAATATTCGAAGGAAAGGTGAACAAATTAAATGATTCAACAAGTAACAAGCTTAATATACATTGACAGGAATGTCTGACAATATTTGGTGGGACACCAGGAGAGAGTACCAGTCTGAAGATGTGTTATGCTGGTTATGGATGTCCTCTTATCCTTGTGTAAGTGTATTTCTTCAAGTGTTAGTAATCGTTAGTATGTATGGTACTCATATAAAAATAAGGAAATGTGGTTAACTTGCCATGAGAGAGACCAATGAATGAAGATATAAACAACTATCATGACTATAGGTAACTGTACGCTGTCAACAGTGAGCAAAACCCATACCTTATAGTAAGCTTAACAAGGTTTGGGTATGACAAAATGTGAAACGATTCAAAGGAGAAAACCAATCGCCTGAATGTATTGTTGTCTTACTACATGTACCTCAACTACAATCATCAGCATTCACATTCAAAATTCACAACCTAAAATTTTGTGTTAACTAAATCACGTGTCCTCCTATGTACTTTATAAACATCAGTGATTCTAAATTTCAGATTTCAGTATTGAAACATTTATGTCTCTGTTTTATATTTTAGTTTGGAAGAAGATGGTGTTCTCACAGACTGCAGTATTAAGACTTTAGAACCTGATGAGATCTTAGACTTCAACTTCTGTAGTACAAATGTTATCAATAAAATTATCATGAAAGTAGGTACATTGATTATATTTCATTTAATTGTATCCTTTCATGTAAATGTGGACTAGGTGTAGTGCTGAATTTCCTTGTTGTTTAGTTCCCTATAACTTAAAAAAGTAGGAAAAATAAGAATTATTTCCATAGTTCAAGTATATTTCAAAAGTCAGGTTGATCAGACATAACCTGAGACTGCAATTAAAGACAAAGTGACATTAACCTGGCTTGGGTATAGCCACAAACATATATTATACTTGATATGAACAATGACTGTGCTGGTTTTTTTTATAACAATATAATTTTACTTAATAGATTTAATACTATATTGCTATGGTTATGTTCAAATAAGATTTTCAATGCAAGAATTCCTGAAATGATTTTTCTTATCCATTCAGTATGTCTGCAGAAAATGTTCATTGATTCGAAGCAAACACTTGAAAATTGGTATTTGCTGATTTTCTGCTTAACACGCAGCATTTAAAAGTAAGAGTAACAACAGTAAAGAGTATGTCTGGGTAGTGTGACATGTCTTCCTGCAGACTGTTACCTTCTTAACAAGCATGTTAAAAATCTGGCATTCAAATTCATATCGCATTAACATCCTCTTGTCCTGATATGCACGTAATAATTGCCACTGGACATTATACACTAAATCATTATCATCATCTTTATGCTGTTAATTAAAGAGTTCCAGATTATTTTGTGTGTATCACATATGTAAAGCAATTTGTTCTTCTTCAGTCAGAATGTCTGAAGGAAGCTTTCAGTGAGTTGGACATGACCAGTGATATACTACAGTTCCTGATGTCACCGGACCCCCCACACTTCAGATTGTCTACCTTTGGCAATGCTGGTAGCACACATGTAAGTTTAATAAAAAAAAGTTAATCATGGCAGCCACTGATTCCATTGAAATTCACAATTGCTTTAACTTCGTTAAAGAAAAATTCATAGTGGTCATCAAATTTTTTTTTAAAGAGGTCTTTTGTAGCACTTATTATACTAGTTTAAAAATGTAATTCATCGGAAAAAAATCAAGAATTTTATATGCAAAAATAGTCTATTGATGTATGTTAGTTATAGAATAAAAAACTGTTAAAATTTAAAGAAAAAGACATTACAGGTTTTTTTTGAATTGATAAAGCTTTGTGAAAAGATTTCTATTGTCTATTATGATGGGAATGTCTGTCAGGTTAATGGCTTGTGTAACCCACTGTCCGTGCCACTTATCTGCATCACTTTCTAAATGAATATTTTTTCTCACAAACTGTCAAGCAATAGACGACTTGAATTCATGCCCTGTCCCTTAAATTTCCTTTTTCACAATGCTTATGTTATTAAGTCACAGTAAGGAACGATTGTTCGATGACATCTTTTATGCTGATTGACCTCGGGTAAACCAGTGTAACTCATTCATAAAAAACAACTCTGATGTCTAATTGGGTTGTACTAATCATATCTTGAATTTGAGTTTGTCATACCTATACATAACTTCATCTCACAAACTGCTGAAGCAAACAAAACCAAACTTTACAGTATGTTGCGGCTTTCCAAGGATGGTTGATACAGGTTTCTTTGTATTAGAATTATTGTTGCTCCATTATTTTATTTACAGTATAGCTATTTAAGTTTGTAATGACAACTTTATATTTCAGTCAGATTTTCCTAAGGAATCAGACATGATGGAATCATTCCAGTGTACCCAGACACAAACAAACAGGTAATTAGATAGATATAAGAAGTTATGGTATGAGTGCCAATGAGACAACTCTCCATCCAAGTCACAATTTGTAAAAGTAAACCATTATAGGTTAAAGTACGGCCTTCAACACGGAGCCTTGGCTCACACCGAACAGCAAGCTATAAAGGGACCAAAAATGACTAGTGTAAAACCATTCAAACAGGAAAACCAACGTTTGTATACTTTTTCAATCATTGTTTAGAAATTGAATTGAAAGTTAAAGGGTAGACCTCAGGTCAATTAAACTTCTCACTTTAAGCTAAGTCAGTAAAGTTATGTAAAGTATCATTTAGAAAGTTTGACTTGTTGCAAAAGTCTGGATTTTTGAAAGAAGGCAAGTATAAATTATTTAATGGCAAAATACCAAAACAATAACAGTGAAGGTATAATACAGGTATACAAGTAACAAAAACAGTCAATGAACGTCTACATCCCAGCTGTCTTCAGAAAAGCACATATATAGTGTATGCCACATACATGTATTTATTGTCCCCATGCCGTCCGATCTTGTTAGCGATCTCACAGGTACAATTCTTGCCAGATTTTTATAAAACTTAAACTATAGGTTAATATCAGCAATATCTCGGACAAGTTCTATAATGACCGACTTTTTTTAAAAGAGTTATGCACCTTGGAAATATTAAATTTATGGAAAATGGCCTCCTTAGCGCTTTCACAGGTACAATTCTTGCCAGATTTTTTAAAAACTTATAGTATATTATAATTTGTTTTAAAGAACCAAAAAAAAAGGGTTTTCTAGTTATTGCCCTTGTACCTTAGATAGATAAAATATGTGCAACAAGGGGGACATTGGAACTTTGTTCTTTTATTTTTATCAAGTATAAGACTTTTTTTAAAAGAGTTATGCCCCTTGGAAATATTAAATTTATAGAAATAGCCTTGTTAGCGCTCTCACGGGTCCATCAGAACAGATAATAGAGGATTTCTCTCATTACAGTTTATTATTTGTTTACAGGTATAAGATATCTTTATTGAAGCCATCAGTCAAGGCTCTAGCACTATCCACCCGAGTATCCATCAGAACAGATAATAGAGGATTTCTCTCATTACAGTTTATTATTTGTTTACAGGTATAAGATATCTTTATTGAAGCCATCAGTCAAGGCTCTAGCACTATCCACCCGAGTATCCATCAGAACAGATAACAGAGGATTTCTCTCATTACAGTTTATGATCAAGAATGAAGATGGACAAGTCTGCTTTGTAGAATTTTATGTATGTACTATGTTAAATAGCATGAATCTTGACTGATCAGGACTTCTATTAAGTAGAGATTTTAATCATGATTTAATCCAAACACATGACTTTTTAACAAATGTGATTATGCTACTTTGGATTAACATGATTAAGGAGCTCTAGGCAGTCAAGGCTCTAGCATATTCCAGGGTTCACAACAGAATGAAAATCAAGGGTTGGGGAGAAAGTTCATCAAATCAGAGATGTTGTGTTGCGTTGTCGAATCGATTCCTTGTGCATGAATTATTAATTATATGCCTTACATGTATTTGTCATATATATAGCTAATTTGGAAAGGGGGTGTCACACAGATTTTGTAGTTGGTCCTATTATTGGTCACCACACTTGTAGGAACATATTAAACAGGGAGGGTAAACACCTGATGTGGCTTCCCAGATTGCAGGAATATTCTAACAAATTTTATCTAAATTGTCTTATGGAAAACCACCTAGTAAAAAGGTCTAAAAAGATAAAGAAATTAATAATAAAAAAAAATATTCAGTCACAGAATTTCAGTCATTTCAACCAAATTAAGCCTAATCTAGCAGTTTATAAAATCATATGTGTTATGTAGAATTTTATTAAATTAACTCCCCTCTTTTCCCAGTCAGGGGTACTACTTAAACAAGTGATTTCATTATCACCTATTTCAGTGATTTGATAAATTCAGTAATCACCTATTTAAGTGATTTTGGTGTTTCCTTTGATCTTCAAATGCTAATTTCATTGATTTTCCATATTTTGACAAACTTCTCTATAATTTTCCTACTTAGATCAATTATCCCTGTTTCTTTGTATATGAATTTCACCAGTGCGCTTGGGCAGTAAGTTAGTGCGCTAAAGCTTTTAAAAGTACCCTTGGGAATTTTTCTGTAATCAAATATTCATTAACTACTCTTACTATCAGAAAAGGTCAACAATATTAGGTAACCTAGTTGGTTTTCTTTAGAGTTAGAATGATCTACTTCAAGGTTATGTCTTGATCTACAAATTATTCCAGTTTTTGCTTATTTTAAATAAACTGTAAAAACTGACAGGCTTATTAAGCAAAAGACAATTTCTGCATGTACATAGTTGTTTTTTCAATGGAATTCTTGTCTTTTTACCAATAAAAAAATCAACCATGTGGGAAAAATATCAAGAAAATGTTATAAACACTTATTGAAGTGATTACATTTTAACTTCTCAAATTACTTGTTTCAGTGATTTTAAAAATTCTATGTCTATTTTTGTGAAAATTTTTAATATTTCACAGCCAAAATCACTTGAAGAAGTGATTCTGAAATCACTTGTTTAAGTAGTACCCCTGACTGTTTCCAATACAAGTATGTAAAGGAATTATATATCCAGTTTTACTCTTTTCTTCTTACTTTAAATGAGTTTTAAGATAAGGAAACTCCTATCCCAGATCTAACTGTCTAAAAATAACCAGACAATGTTTGTCTGTTATTGAGGTATTCCCCAGTGTTTTCCCGCCAAATGAGATCATGTGACATTGTTGTCAACAAAAGGACCATGTGGTCAGGGAATCCATTTGTTTTTTGGATTACTGCTTTTATTAATCTAGTTAGGATATAAACATTCCATTTAAGGTATAGTCAAACATATGCATTTATAAAATAACTGTAGTTTGCAAACAAGTTTTACTTTTCAAATTGAAGAAACTGGGTCATGATCGTTCATCGGTTGTTACCTTGTTCAACCACGCGAGACCATGTAAATAATATAATCAGCTGTCAGTGTACATCCCTTGAGGCAATTAACAATAATTCGACTTCTTAATTGCCACTGACATGATAATTGGATTAGGGATATCTGAAATTTCTTCAATCTATTGAATTTTCAAGTGTGGCGGACAATAAAATAAGCGTGGCGCTGGGAATTTTAACGTGGTGCTAGAAATTTTAGCATGGCGCACCGCCATCCTTAAATAGGTTGTGGTGATCCCTGTTAATTCTTTTTCATTCTGGATAAAATACAGATTCTGTGTTCACACTTTGCTTACACAAATCTGACAGCATTCTGTTTTACTATCTGTTGTGGCAATTATTACATCAGCCAATGAAATTTCTGCCTCCAAATTTTTGTGTATCATTATGACAAAACCACTTACGTCTTTAAAACAGAAAATAGAAAGGAACCTTTTCAGATCTTTCTAAGCAAAGTGTGACCAAAAGATCTGTATTTCAATTAAATTGTTTTCTTTTTAAATGGATAAATGTGTTGATTTGACCTCATTTGCTGAAAGTTCTTAAACTGGCTTTTTATTGTCATGATTTTTTGATTCAGCCATGCTGGATCTATGCGATCACTCTGGTTTTGGAGATGGTGCAGAATACTAAGTTGAAGACATATCATGAAACTAATTATGTGTTTTTATGACTTGCAGAAACTTTCTACACCATATTAATCATCAACTGCAAACTTTTGACATGTTATTTGCCCTTAAATTAAGAAAAGATTGGTCGAATAATGACTTTATTTTAGATATACACTTGCATATAGTTCCTTTCTAAATCAAAATTTATGATGATTTACTATTTATGAATTAATTTGAAAAAGTATTTTACATCAATTGAATCAGTTGATAAGAATTTTGAAAGTATTATATTAGTATCTTGTGCTTGTGTAAATTATTGTACAATGAAATGTAGGTCAACATGTGTATAAATATATCTAAGTTGATTCCCACACTTGTTTGAAATGGTATTACTCCAATTCTTTCCATAGGCAAGTAAGAGTCAGAATGATTATTAATTGTCATGATTTTCAAATAAGTATTAATTAGAAACAACCCCAGGCTTAATTCAAAACAGTTAATATCTCATGACCTGTTACATAATTAAATAGACACAATTTATTACACACCTAACTTAATACACACATTCTTGACCTCAATAGTAAACCTACAAATGTATTATTTATTTTGATCTACACTACATTAAAATATTCTGTTAATTTTGCTAGCTAGCTGAATGATTAATCTGATGTGTTTTTTTTTCTCAATGAAAATAACTTAAAATGTATAAAAAATGCAAGCAAATTTTATTTTACTTGTAAAATCAGTGCCATTATCATCTGACATAAGTCAATAATCAAGTTCTAATTAATTAGTTACAACAGAGACATATATACACAGAGATTGGCAACTGTAACAGTGGTCAGCGAAATCCAATTAAAAACACGCATCACACGAGACTTTAACGAGATCGCCATTTTGCATCTGATCATGACAAGTTCACCACCGCTTCGATTTTTATTTTACATCAAGCTTTTCAAAACAGCATAATGTAAGTATATATTTCAATTTCGTAAATTATTTACCTTGTTTTATTCAGTTTGTAGTAATTGTTAGTTAAAATATTGTGACGATTAACGTTTTATTGTGGTCAATAATAAGGGGAAAGCTTGGCCGACATGGACGTTATGAAAATTTTTTACACGGACGTATTTTTTATTAAAACCTTTTCATTCGAAAACCATTTATGAGATGAATCACTTTTCCCAAGACATACTGGTTTTGTGTAAATATGTTGAATTTTTCATTAAATCACCCACTTTGATGCAATTTACAATTAAAAATGACCATTCAATCTGTTGGCCATTTTCATTCTCTTCAATATAAAGACAGGCCCCTGTCCATGTCTACAGTCAATAAACTTTTCCATCTTTAGAGAATAGTTATTCCCAGCACATGAATTACTTTTTTATGACATACTGGATTTGTGTATAACAGTTGTTTTTTCCATATTTTCACCAGCTTTGATGCAATTTACCATTTAAAATGACCATTCAAGCTGTCGGCCATTTTCATTCTCTTCAATATAAAGACAGGCCCCTGTCCATGTCTACAGTCAATAAACTTTTCCATCTTTAGAGAATAATTATTCCCAGCACATGAATTACTTTCTTATGACATACTGGATTTGTGTATAACAGTTGTTTTTTCCATATTTTCACCAGCTTTGATGCAATTTACAATTAAAAATGACCATTCAAGCTGTCGGCCATTTTCATTCTCTTCAATATAAAGACAGGCCCCTGTCCATGTCTACAGTCAATAAACTTTTCCATCTTTAGAGAATAATTATTCCCAGCACATGAATTACTTTCTTATGACATACTGGATTTGTGTATAACAGTTGTTTTTTCCATATTTTCACCAGCTTTGATGCAATTTACAATTAAAAATGACCATTCAAGCTGTCGGCCATTTTCATTCTCTTCAATATAAAGACAGGCACCTTTCCATGGCTACAGTTTATAAAATTGTCCATCTTTAAAGAACAAATGTACCCATCACCATTGATCACAGGAATTACTTTCCCAAGACATACCGGTTTTGTGTATATAAATTGTTTTTTTCATTATTTCCACCACTTTGATGACATTTACAAGTTTATATACATGTATATTTACATTCAGTATCTGACAGCATTTTTTTTTAACAGGATCCTGTATGTTATAAAAGAACAAAGATGTTGATCAAATTTACCTAACAGTGCAGCATACAAGGGATGTAATATCATACATGTGCTGAATGTAGGACTCCCTAGCCTTTCTGATTGAAAAAAAGATTCCCTGGCAAACAGGAACAACTACTATCAATGTGATACTAAAAAATGGTTTTGTAAGAGAGAAAATGACATGTGCTTATCCTGACTGTGAAAACACCACATTATTGTAGTTCAAATATCATAGTTCATATGCCAAACTTGATGTACATGTGTATGCGATTTTTGTGCAAGTGATGGTGACATCATTGAACTAAGAATAAATACAAGACTCCGCATTCAATCTATTGAATTTGAAACAGAAGTGGCAGTTGTGCAGAGACTAAACGGATAAAAATGCAAATAAATATCTTGTGTTCAACTTCATTTGTCTTCTTTACGTTTACAAAGTATACATGTACATAATTTTTACATACATGTATAACAATATGATGATGTAGTATGATTGCCAATGAGACAATGATT